TGTTCGACGTCGTCACCGCGCACGACGACGAGCCGGGCGACGACCGCTGGGACGCCATCGACGGCTGCAAGCTGCGCGTGCTCGTCGTGGACACGGTTAGCGGCGGCGTGGCGTGCCTCCAGCCCGGGGGGCGCGTCGAGGACGTCGACGAGTGCGTCTACTACGAGAGCGGCATCCTCAGCATCCGCGAGATGATCGAGGGCCTCGTCGACGACGACGACGGGCCGGACCCCTGCGTCGACTCCCACTACAACTGCCACGAGAAGCGCTTCTACACGACCTTCCGCCTCCTGTCCGAGTACGACTCCAGCGACATGGCGCGCCGCGACGTGCTCTGCCTCTTGGAGCACCTCATCGACTTCAACATCTGAGCGGTCCGCTAGTCCGTCCCCTCCGGCATTAGTCGCGCCAGCGGGGGCTCCGGGGCGACCGCGGGGGCGACGCGGGCCGCGACCGCCGCGCGACCGCGCGCGGGTAGGCGTCGTCGTCGTCGTCGGACTCGTCGAGGCCGCGCCAGCCGCCGTGGTCCTTCGGGTCCGGCCGCGTCCAGGGGACCGCGCGTTCCGGCTTGGCGACGCTCGACGCGAGCGCGCGCGCGGACCGCGACGACATGAGCTCGAGGTCGCAGATCTCGCACTTCTGGTCCTCCCCGAAGCGCCGGTTGTGGTGGCCGCAGGCCGGGCAGGTGACGTAGACGACGGCGTCGGCGCTCGCCGGGTTCGGGCTCCGGCAGATGGTGCAGGCGTCGGCGCCCTTTTTGTTGTCGCCGTAGAAGCAGACGGGGCACGCCCACGTGTCGTCGAAGCCCCGCGCGGTCGCCCGCTTCGCCGCCGGGGGCGGCGCGCCGGCGAAGAGGTGGTCGTCGGGGCCCGGCGCGCCGAAGACGGGCGGCGCGCCGGCGCCGGCGTGGCGCGGCGGGCTCGCGGCGGCCGGGAGCCGGCCGCGCGACCGGCGGTCCGACGTCACGTCCCAGGCCTCGAGCGCCGCCGCGGGCTTCGGCGACGGCGTGCGGTCGCGCGACGGGGGCTCGGCGAAGCGCGCGCGGCGCCGCGGCGACCGGCGCGCGTTGCGCGCGGGCGACAGGGAGAGCTCGAAGAAGGTCTTGTCCGGGTCGTCGTCGCCGCCGTCGCCGTCGCGCCACCGCGGCGCCGCGCGCGGCGACGCGGGCCGGCGCCGGTCGGCGGCGCCGTCGTCGCGCCACGTCGGCGCGGACGCGGGCCGCCGCGGCGACGCGCGCCGCGCGAACCAGGGCTGGGGCTGGGAGCGCCGCGGCGAGCCCGGCGGCGGCCGCCGCGGGTCCGCGGCGCGGCGCCGGCCGTCGGCCGGGAAGACGCCGTCCGCGTAGGACACGCTCCGGCCGTCGCCCGCGCGGCGGCGAGCGGCCCGCCGAGGGCAGCGCGGCGGCGACGTGGCGCACGAAGTGCTCATAGTCGACGTTCCGCTGGTCCCGCGGCGCCGCGAAGCGGCTGCAGAGGCTCTGGAGCTGGAGCTCCGCGG